GAAGAGAGAGAAGAGAGAGAGAGAGAGAGAGAGAGAGAGAGAGAGAGAGAGAGAGAGAGAGAGAGACTGGGGCATAGGTTACAGGGAGGAAGGGAGAGGAATGAGAGGGATGTTGCAAGTCCCCATTTTTTGCCGTTGCAGACCACGTCACACGAGTGCTGATATCGGACAGCCGTCTCGCGGATTCGAACAAGACGTGGCAGGAATGCTGGCGGAAATGCTCCCTGATCCACATCACAGGGGGGGAGGTCCCGATACAAGCCATGAGGGACACCGTCTTGGCATCCCTGAGGACAATCTTGCAGCAGGAAAAGAGGTCCAGCGAGAAGAAGTGGATCGTGATGGTGATGGCGGGCTTTTACAACATCATGCTCGGGAATTGCTCCGCGGAAAGTGTTTTGAAAGACCTCTTGGCTCTGAGGGGGGACGTGTTGAAGATCCTGCCTCCCGGAACGGTCGTGGTGTTGGGTACGGTCCCGGGGGTGTACAGGAAGCAGCTCGGCGGCCAAAAGAGAGCGAAAATGTTCAATCACGTGAACGACATGATCACGAAGAAGAACCAGCGCTTCAACAGGGACGTGGCGGTCATTCTGTCCAACCACGGCAAGAAGAGATTTTCCGAAGTCGTCGAAAGTGCCAGCGAGATCACGAAAATGGTCGAGGACATCCACAAGTGCTTCCTTCTGTGCACTCAGTTGGTCACTCATCCCGCGACTTCCGCCTCGACCAAAGATTCCCCCGCTGGCGCCGCTCCGTCGGGAAAAGGATCTTCAAGAGCATCCGCGTCGGTTTCTGAAAAGACGGTCCCTCTGCCTGGGAGGTAGGTGGGTGAAGAGATCAACGGTAGTTCATGCGAGATAGTGTATCTGTTTGTTTGTTACTGTATTTGTATGGTACGTTTTTGTAAATTTACTGCCAATAGGTACTGTATTTGTTATCTGTTTGTTGTATAATGTATTTGTTATGAACAAATATATAAGAAAGATTAAGAAAGATTAGCAGTAATTCATACATTGTACGTGTTGTATTCACAAAACTTATTTAATAACTTGATTCCTTTTTTAAACAGTCATGCACAACCAAAAGAGACGGAGGAAACAGATAAAAACAATTTATCAAATGCATCCGTGCTCTACGAGGACAGCAATGTTGAAGTGGTATATGTGCCAAGTCAAGGAGGCGCCAGCACAGGTAGCAATTTGCATCCATTTAGAGTACATTTAGAGAACACATTGAAGAGTAAGAGACAGGAAAAAACTTCAGAAACTAAATAGAATTTCCATTTCCAGAAAAGGCGTCCTTCGTATTGGCGTCGGATAATCGCCTGAGAAACGTCAGGCTCGCTTGGACTTCGGAGTTCCCTCTGGTCCACGTCCTCGGGAAGGAAAGGCCCGCGAGAGACCTGCAGGAGGGCTTCGCAACGGCGCTGACGAGGCTGCTAGTCGAAGAGAATTTATCGAGCGTCAGGAGACTGGTGGTCCTGGTGTCAGCCGGTTCCTACAGCATCATCAAAGGGTGTCATGACCCCGACAGCATCTTGGGAGAACTCTGGGATCTGAGGGTGGCCATAGAGCGGGTTCTGCCGCCTGGTGCCATCACAGTCGTCAGCACTCTCCCTTGCACGTCAGGAAAGGGCCTGACGAAAAAGGCGCAGGCCAGAGCGAGCGAAATGTTTACACAAGTGAACCAGCTGATGACGGACTATTATCGCCAGCAAATTCCCGCTCAAGCCGTCAAGGTTGTTTCAGCATTCGGCACCAAAAGGGTCTCCATTGTTTTGACGAAAGCGGAGGTTTCGAAGCTCACCCTCCCGCTCGAGACTTGCTTCAAGTACTTCTCCGAACCGGCACTGTGCTGTTTCTGCCTTGTCAAGTCGAGCAAGCTGTCGACGTCGTACACGAAGGGGAGTTTTTGTATGGCGTGTGACAGGTGCCTCTTTGCACTCTCTGCACCCGAGTTGGCAGTTGGTAAGCAACGTATTCTTATATGTTATATTTTTGCATATTATATTTTTTATATATTATATTCCTGTTTATTATATTCTTATGATCATTATCATTTTCCAAGTATGGATTCCGATTGTTCCACAGCGAAGGACGGCGAGCAGCTGCAAGTCCCCAGCCAGCCGGAGCCTGAGGAGCACGAAGGGCATGAGGAGGAGGACCTGGGCTGGCAGAAGATCTTCCAGATGAAAGCCTGCCTGAAGAAGAAGGAACCCTTCACCATGGTCTCCCTGGCCGACGCCCTCGCTGGCCTCCTCGCCGTCGCCTACGACAAGGACTTATTCGCTTTGCTGAAGAAGGTCCTGAAGGAGGAGGCGACGGGCGTGGGCGTCCTCTCGAGCTGCACCTACAACGACATCGCTTTCCTGGGCATCACGGGGGAGCGAGCGGTCAACCTGAACCTGAACCGCCACGTACCCGAAGACCAGGGGGAGGTCCTCGTAAGCGCCGCGGTCGTCATCAGGGACTGTCTGCGGGCGCTCGTGTCTCAGGGCTAGTGCGGTTGCGGGGGAGGGGGTGGGGGTGGGGGTGGGGGAGGGGTGGGGGATTGTGTTGGTCATGGCGGTTGAAGATTAGGTTTAGTCGATTGTTGGAGGGTGGGGAGAGGGGGGAGGGTGGGGGGATGATGCGATTGTGCTGGCCTTTGAGGGTGAAGATTAGGTTTAGGTGATTGTTGGTGGGTGGGGGTGGGGTTGGGGGGGTGGGGGAGGGGGTGGGGGTGGGGGGGGTGATGCGATTGTTTTGGCCTTCGCGGGTGAAGGTTAGGTTTAGTTGATTGTTGGACCTGTTCGCTTTGCTGAAGAAGGTCCTGAAGGAGGAGGCGACGGGCGTGGGCGTGCTCTCGAGCTGCACCTACAACGACGTCGCGTTCCTGGGCATCACGGGGGAGCGGGCGGTCAACCTGAACCTGAACCGCCACGTGCCCGTAGACCAGGGGGAGGTCCTCGTAAGCGCCGCGGTCGTCATCAAGGACTGTCTGCAGGCGCTCGTGTCTCAGGGCTGAGTGTGGTTGCGGGGGAGGGGGTGGGAGTGGGTGGGGAGGGTGGTGCGAGTGTGTTGGCCTTTGAGGGTGAAGATTAGGTTTAGTTGGTTGTTGGTGGGTGGGGTGGGGTGGGGGTGGGGGTGGGGAGGGTGATGGGATTGTGGTGGCCTTTGCGGGTGGAGATTAGGTTTAGTTGATTGTTGGACCTGTTCGCTTTGCTGAAGAAGGTCCTGAAGGAGGAGGCGACGGGCGCGGGCGTGCTCTCGAGCTGCACCTACAACGACGTCGCGTTCCTGGGCATCACGGGGGAGCGGGCGGTCAACCTGAACCTGAACCGCCACGTGACCGAAGACCAGGGGGAGGTCCTCATAGGCGCCGCGGTCGTCATCAGGGACTGTCTGCGGGGCGCTCGTGTCCCCAGGGCTAGTGCGGTTGGGGGAGGGGGTGGTGGGGGTGGGGGTGGGGGTGGGAGGGTGATGCGATTGTGTTGGCCGTTGCGGGTGGAGATTAGGTTTAGTCGATTGTTGGTGGGTGGGGTGGGGGGTGGGGGATTGTGTTGGCCATGGCAGTTGAAGATTAGGTTTAGATGATTGTTGGTGGGTGGGTGGGGGTGGGGGTGGGGAGGGTGATGCGATTGTGATGGCCATTGCGGCTGAAGATTAGGTTTAGTTATTTGTTGGTGGGAGGGGGTGGGGGTGGGGGGATTGTGTTGGTCATGGCGGTTGAAGATTAGGTTTAGATGATTGTTGTGGGTGGGGGTGGGGGTGGGGGTGGGAGGATGATGCGGTTGTGTTGGCCATTGCGGTTGAAGATTGGGTTTAGTTGATTGTTGGTGGGTGGGGAAGGGGTGGGGGTGGGGGGGGGTGATGCGATTGTGGTGGCCGTTGCGGCTAGAGATTAGGTTTAGCTGATTGTTGATGTTATAAGTCCTATATTATTTTTAGAATATTGATAATGGTTATGAATTATGCAGGTATGGGGAGATCTTAGTGACTGTGAGGTTCATGTAGATAAGATCTGTGGTTTCTCCTCAGTTAGATGGAGTTCTGTGCTTGTTTGTCCCCTTTTTGTAATAATCAGTGTCATGATTTGTTATTTAAAAGAAGAAATATTAATTTTCTGAAAGCTCATACCTGTATCTCAGTTTCCGAAAGAGGATTTGATTCAATTTCTTCCTAATTTGATCTTCTGTTGATCGATTTCTCTCATGAGTTTTCTTCTTTTCGAAATGTATTTCTTTTGTAACACTGACTTAGGCTACGGATGAGTTACGAATGTTTTTTTTTCTGTATTTCGTATAAGCTGTAGCCCACACGGATGTCCCATCTGTTTCAGAATAATGACTTGTATCTATTTTTTTTCGAGAGCAAATAAGGTACATAAAAAAAACAACAACAACAAAGAACGGAATCTAATTTAACCTTATTTCCGTTTTCTATGCAGTGTGGCCGTAACCGAAGCTTTTATGCCACCTATCCATAAGTATCAAAATGTATCAGCGCGTTTTATGTGATCATGTAGGGATTATAGTATGTTTACCTCGTATGTTGATGGATTTTATTATGCCTAATATGAGGTAAAGTGTCCCTGCTTCACCAAGAGCGGTATGTGGATGTGGATAAATGGATATTGTTATGGGAATTATGGCTGGCGTTGTATTTAGTTTATTGGAAAGCTGCGTGGAGCCGAGAGTATTGGCATTAGGTGGTGTGTTGTGTTGTTTGTTTTGTGTTTTTGTGTGTTTGTGTGTGTTGTGTTGTGTTGTGTTGTGTTGTGTTGTGTGTGTGTGTGTGTTGTGTGTGTGTGTGTGTGTGTGTGTGTGTGTGTGTGTGTGTGTGTGTGTGTGTGTGTGTGTGTGTGTGTGTGTGTGTGTGTGTGTGTGTTGTGTGTGTGTGTGTGTGTGTGTGTGTGTGTGTGTGTGTGTGTGTGTGTGTGTGTGTGTGTGTGTTTGTGTGTGTGTATGTGGGTGCGTAGGTGCGTACGGTCATTTTCATTATTGTTAATATGACGCACTAATAATTAATGTCTTTACATCTTTAATAAGTTTCTACTTTGTTGAGTGTACAATGAAGCAACAAGTTACTCTCTCTCTCTCTCGCACAAACACACATACATATACATATATATCTGTGTGTGTGTGTGTGTGTGTGTGTGTGTGTGTGTGTGTGTATGTGTGTGTGTGTGTGTGTGTGTGTGTGTGTGTGTGTGTGTGTGTGTGTGTGTGTGTGTGTGTGTGTGTGTGTGTGGTGTGTGTGTGTGTGTGTGTGTGTGTGTGTGTGTGTGTGTGTGTGTGTGTGTGTTGTGTGTGTTGTGTGTGTGTGTGTGTGATAGATATAGCCTGAAATAAATTATAAATACAGAAAAAAAACTCTCCGACATGTCATTCCAGTGAAACATCCAAATTTGAACTGGTTTTAGAAGACGAAGATTTGCTCAGAACGTCCACAAGGAAGATGCAAATATTTTCGTTATAAACCTTTTTAATCAGGTATCCCCTATTTGGTTACGTATATCTTCAAGATTATATTTGTCCCACGGGCAGGTGTAAAAGATCAAACATGTACACTTTTCTGACTTTATCTTTCCTCTGTTTAGTACAGTCTTTGTAAATGGTGCGTTGAATGCCCTTAGGTGACAGGTGTCCTCAGTCCCCTCCCTATATACTTCAGGGTTCCAGGGATAGTCAGTCTGTCATGGATGGCAGTACTGGCACCCTCACAATGGCTACCGTCAGAGTAGGCACTGGGACCTTGGCACTGACTCATTATTAGGTACATTATCAACAATGGTAATGCTGGCTTCCTGATATTGATATATGTTTTTCGTCTTTTCACTGTCTTGTTCTAACTTAAGATGTTGAGTGTGTCTTTATGTTGTTCTAAATTTAATCACCTTAATTAGGGCTTGTCATATATCCGTGACTAGGTTTTATGTCATGATTACTAATTTCACAGCATCCCTAACTATTGGCGAGGGAATGCTGGTGTCGGAGAGAGGAGAAAGAGGTCATGTTCTCGGCCTCCACACGGTTCATTAGGTCAGGTGATGTGAGGATTACGAGTCCCGGGATTCGTTGCGTGAACAGCATCGTTATCCTGTTCCCCTTTTCCACCAGTCTAACAAGCTGTGTCAGACAGTTTTTAGTTTAATTTAGTCCTTTATTTACCGCCCTGGCTAACTGCACAGGCGTGGGCAAGCTGTGGTACATTTGATGCATGGTCAAAGCATTATATAATAGTATTACAGTGTAAATCTAGATCATAAAATTATTACGGTCTAAAATATATCATTAAAAGGAAAAGAACGATCAGTAATTTATCTACTCATCTGTCAAGCCGGCATACGGCTTGGGCGTGGAAAGGCAATATAACATTTGATATGTGGTCATGTGATACTACATTCCAAATTTAGGATATAACATAATTATATCTTCCAAGACATCAGATGATATGAAGTAGTTACATAGTTCTCCATACCTCATGCTAGGTGGTCTGAAAGGCTGTATTACATGGCACTCTGAGATATAATGTACAAGTGTTCGCTTATATTCTTCATTGCATAATTTACACTTCGTTTCTTCAACATTACAGGCTGTACTGACCTGCCTGTACAATCTATATCCCAGCCTGGATAGTGAAATATGGGTTGATAAAACCGTAGACTTTTCACATTGATTTTTTACGTTTTCTTTCCTGATCAATTTATTTTCAGTGATTGATTCCCTAATCAAGTGATTGTATTAATCACTAGACTTACTGGTTGACTGATTGTATTAACTGATTCATTCCCCAACTGACTTATATCATTAACTGGTTGACTAACTAACATCACTGATTAATTATGATCTTAGTTTCTTAATAAATAACTCTAAAGGGAACAGGGTCTTAACTCACAAGACGTATTAAAAAAACAGCTTTCTAAGCAACCTAGAGATATTTCAGGTGCGAGCAGCGAGATACCATCCGTGGCTAAATACGGTACCGTGTTAGTGAATAGCGGTGCCTGACATGACATAAAAATGCAATCATAAACTTGTCACTATTCTAATCCTCGGATGAAGTCCAATCTTTCCTTCAGTAACTTCAGAAACTTGAGATTAAGACATGGTAATAATCAGTACCATGATTAGTATGGTTATCACGTCTGCGATTATGGCCAACGATTGAATCATATATTAACTGCAATTAAAAAAAATCTATTTATGAAACAATCTGAAATGGGAAGAAATTCTAAGATGAAACAGACACTTATGCCCCACATATGTATACATCTATCTGTCTATATATCTTTCTGTCTGTCCATCTGTCTATCTATCTATTTATCTAGCTAGCTACCCATCTATCTATCCATCAACCAATTAATCAGTCTATCTATCTACCTATCAATTTACCTACCTACCTATCCCTCTGCCTATTTATCTACTTACCTATCCCTCTATCTTTTCACCTATCTACCTATCCCTCTATTTACCTATCTACCTATCCCTTTATCTATCTATTTACCTACCTACCTATC